CTCCCTTGTCATTGTTGGTAATACCATAATAAGAACATTCTAAACCTGTTTTTTGTTTGCCAAAAATGTCGGTCTCATTTATTTTGATTTTGAAGAGGACCTTTTAAAATATGTCCTTATGCTAATTCCTTATAGCCTTTGGTTTATCTTTTCAAAAAGATCAGCATAATCCGAACTTACATAGATTTCGATCTCGTAGACGATAGTTAGACCGTCGAGTTCGATGATGTCCATTGTGTGCTTCAGAGTAAGGCGGAGCAGGGACGGTAACTCGTGTGTGAGTTAGTTTATGGTGATGGTAAACTTGCACACAATATACCGCACTCTCTCTTCCTTACCCTCTGGGTCCGGTGTCAAGACAGAGTTAAGAAGATCAGAATAAGAAGCGATCGCTGGAACAATGGCTTTATTCGCCTGACGTTTCGGATTCTCTCTTGAATCCATCATCAGAGACGGTTGCAGAAAAGGGTGGCTAGTGTAGAGGAAGTCGCAGTATTTATAGGATGCGGTCGCCATGCTACCGCATACCTACAGCAATTAACCGTGCTCCCTTCATCAAGGATTATTGCCCGCTGGTGCGCTAATTGCTTGATGGCCGGCATGCAAGTTGTTAATTGCTGACATCTCATCACCCGTCTTGGATGCTGGCGTGATGATTGCTCGGCCATCTGGCTCACCGGCTTGCGCGCTCCTCGAGTGATCAATTGCTTTGGCCAGTCTATGCCTCAGGACAGCATATGGAGTGGGGATGTCGTTGCACTTGTTGATAGACTGAGGTCCATGAACCATGACTCAAGCAACTCGCGGCTCACGCGATTATCCCCTCTCGCGAGAATTTCGGCGAGAATTTCGATAAGGCCGCAATTCTCGCGAGAGGGGATAATCGCGTGAGCCGCGAGTTGCTTGAGTCATGGTTCATGGACCTCAGTCTATCAACAAGTGCAACGACATCCCCACTCCATATGCTGTCCTGAGGCATAGACTGGCCAAAGCAATTGATCACT